TAGATCACTTATGACACCTTTGCATCTACAGCAACGCCCCGCAATACCAGGAGGTCTTTGAGGTATTGCGGGGATGTAACGATGCATCGTGACACGATTAAAAATCGGTACAAATGCGTGACGATTCGCACCGGTTGACAGAAAAAATGAATCGCGGATGCGAGAGAAGTAGGATGTACGATCGTTCTTTTTTTTTTTTAGAACTAGGTTTACGGTATCTTAAAAAAAAAGTCACTGGGTTGGTGATTCATTGCTTCACGATGTCGAGCTTCAAAGGTCACGTGACCTTACGTTCACTACGTAGGTACGGGGCCACAGAAGCAAGGGAAAGACATGGGCGACAGGGTTAGGCCAACCAACTTTGAAATAGCGAGATGCCCCACAGCCCGAGCGGGGTTTTAAATCACCTGGGTGTGGCGGCAATTTTTGGTTTCCCCAATATATACACAAATAACAACCCGGTGGAAGAAAAATGCGACAGACAAACCAAAAACAGCATGTAAATACGTGCAAGAAGACTGCCGTAACAGTATACCGGCGAACACGAGCAACATGCAGCAGGCTATATTAAGCCGCACCACAGTTGAGAAGCAAAGCTAACGTTACGCCACTCCTGGGAGCGAAATTGGCCACGAGGGGGGCGAAACCACCCTGACGGAGGAGCTTGCATGTCATCTCCACCAATAACAACGCAAGGAGCGTTTGGATTGGGGTTTAAGGATGACCACTGTAAGTTGCACTTTTTAAAGGAGGACACAAACTGGTTTGATACAGGGGGAGTTTTTCTGTAGAAGAAAGCACGGCCTCTAAGACTTTTTTTCCTACGAGCATTAAAAAAGATAATTTATTTGGTTCATTATTTGGTCTGTAGCTCATTTTTTGATTAAAAAAAATTGAAATAAATCTTGCTTGAGAAAATCGTATCGTGGAACAAAAAATCTTCTTGAACCGTATCGAATCTGAGATTGAGTGTTATCGTTACATCCCTACTCCTTACGCCCTCACTCATCCACCCGTAACACTCCGTGTTCCCCAAAGCCACAAATCTCCTCCATCACCGCCGGCTCAAGACTCGCGCACCATTGGGAGACCCGAGCTTTCTGCCTCAGCGCCCCTCAGTCTGGAACTCCCTCCCTGAACACTCTGCGAAAACCCAGGTCTGTGCGACACTTTTTAAAAAAGGGACTTTAAAACTTTTGTTTGGTTCAGTGCTGGCGTTTCTTAAATTGTCCCATTAATTTTTTTCTAATGCACTGCTGGCACTTTCAACTCCTCTTTTTAGCGTTTTTCTAAAAAATGTATTATCACTTGTATTTTTATTTGTTACTGATTTTAATGTGTATTTGCCCGTTAGTGGTCTTAGTGTTTGTTTTGGTTTCTGTAGCACTTTGAGATTCTTTTATGGAAAAGTGCTTTACAAATAAAATGTATTATTATTATTATTGTTATTATTATTATTATTATTATTATGTTTAACCAACAAAGGATTATTACCAGCTCTGCAGTTCACTTCAGCTCTATGGAGCTTTTAGCCTCTTTTGGCTCATTGTTTTGGTTTAAAGCCCACAAATTTTGTGCTTTTGTTCAGTCTCACTGCTTTGATTAACATAGTATCCTGCAGCAGCAAGCAAGCCAATGCAGAAGTGTCCTAAACCTGCATTCTATGTAAAGACCGGTAGGGGCATCTCTGGCTGCAATAAAAAAACGATACCATGCACTCTAATGGAGTAATGACCCCTGTTTTCTGATGAGTTTATGGCTTCAATCACTAGTTTCAAGTCTTCTTCCATACAGCATTATGTAAATTTTTATAAATTATGGTCCAGTATACGATAAAGCAGGGTATGCTTTTGAGTGTGACAACCTTGTGACTGACAAGTCATTCTCAGTGAGTCCAAACTCAGATCAAACTGTCAAACTAGGCAGCATTGGTCAAATACAAAACAAGATTATGTTACTGCGTTTCCTATTTCTCACCTAAAATCGTTTTAGAAACACATTTGAGTGCACTGCAATATGAGATGGTGTGTGTCCAGGCGAACCGCTATTGTTTCCTGCTACAGACGAGTCGAAACTGCAAAGCCAATGAAAGCAGCTTATCTCGTAGTACGTCACCTCTACTGGCTCTGACAAACAATCATGGGACAACCAAAATGCCAAACTCGAGGTGAAATGTCTCCAAATGCAAGACATGCCTTGCTTTGCTGTTGCTTTGTAAAAACCTGCCTTAATCTTTCTCTGAATTTCATTTGTTGATTCTGTCTCCATCCTTCTGATGGGCACAAGATAACTCAGCCCACTCCGGCAAGCAGCAAAGTAAAAACTGCCTACTCCCACAAGATTTGCATTGGGTCCTCTACAATGGAGCAAATATTTCTCTCAAGAATTGATGGAAACAAAAACAGAGCTAAAAACAGTGGTATTGGAGATTCGCCAGGGTGACACAAACACAACTGAAATGGAATGTTTCTGGTGTTCGTGTCAATGGGCAACCGTTTGCGAACATGTTCATCATAACAACGTTAATGTTGTGTTTATAGCTTGTTCTGCTGCCCTCAAGTGACTGAAAAATCAGTAAATGCAGCTTTAATTATAAATCTCTATGTGAAAGCAGTTGGATAAGAATAGGGTGCCACTTGGTCTGCTTGTTTACTGTCCATATTTAGAAGGATTGACTGAACAAATATAGATTTGAGCTCACACAGCTTTTGCTTTTGTCCTTTTATTTCTCTATTATCAGATTTGGTGTTTGTAGATATTTGTGCTCCGAGCTGTATTTGATTTCATTAATAAACCAACAGAATTTCAAACCTCTATGGGAGCGTCTATTTTTATCTTGTAGCATATTTCTCTAGAAAGCGGAGAGCAAAGGTTTCCCACTCTTTCTGTCTCTCTTTCACTGTCTGACAGTGTCTTGTCTTGTCACATATATTCTTGGCCGGATCATCCTGTTCCCTTGTTTTCAGTCCGCTGGGCTCAATGAAAACGGCCGGGAGCAAGCCAGCAGAAGGGTGCAGGGAGCTTACGGGGTAACCACAGAGACAGAGGGATGAGAGAGATGGACAGAGATGATGATAGAGAGCTGTTATTAGTTGTGGAAGGACACTAGACGACTTGGCCCACGTGACCCCTCGGGGTAGAGGCTCGCTGGCTGGCTTTGATTAGAGTTAGGTGCTTGACAGACCTCTAGACAGTGAGTGGGAGAGAGTATGATGGGGGAGGACAAGAGGTAAGCTGGTTCTCATCCCCTGACTGACCCTTAGACATTTGAAATTTAATTTTAAATGCAGAAAAAAGGTCATAATTGTTGCAATAACATGAAAAACAAGACAAATGTATCTTTCCAAAGATATGCTCTTTTCTTCTGAGACAGATGAAAATTTACAGATGACCTAGTTTGAGCAGCACACTTGGATGCACTGCAGAGAGGTTTTGAGAAAACTTTGTACATTTTAAGAAATTTAATGGAATTTAAAAGCAGCATTTCTGAAAAAAAAAAAAAAAAACCTCAACAAACTGCATTGTGTTATTTGGGATTATACCCAGGCTCATGCTCAACCTACTGGTGTTAAAACAGTGGGTTAAGCACTTTATCCCTCAAACACTGATGTGAGAGGGCAGCCAGTTTAGTCCTTTGTTCACCAACTGAAAGATTGTGTTAGTCTGACAGCAGCTCTGAGATCACTCATAGATGAGAGGTTAGCATATTTTTAGATGAGTGTTTCATGTGAGGAACCTTACTTCTAAATAATGAGGGTGCCCTTCTCCTGTGCCTACGACTCGCAGATGACATAGCGAAGAGCTGCAGACAAGCAGACTTACAAAGGTCTGGATGAAGATCACAGAGAACATAAAAGAAGAAGGGGACACAAGGAGCAAAAATGTGGAGTTGGAAAGAAAATGTGGAGATTTGCAAAATATACTGTAAATGTGAGAAAATTAAATGAACAAAGGAATGTATAGCCGGTTAGGAAGGCAGAGGAACCATCAAGCAGAGGCACATAAGCTATTGCCCCAAATTACAACACAGCAACCAACGGATCATAGTCCTTATGCTATTCCACGTTTCATGGGATGTGGGGGCAATGAATATAAGCCATGAAGGAGACCATTCTCCATATCAATAAAAAAACAACTAACAGTATAACACAAATAAGAGTTTCCATATAATTACATTAACAATAGATTACATGTGATGGGTTTTCAAAGGCTTTAAACTGAACATATTGAAATTCGGTTTCTGTGTTTTTCCACCAGAGTATAATTATATGTAATTATATTTCTGGTAGTTAAATAAATAAATAAATTTGGCTAGTTAGACGGGGTGGGTCGCTCTGGGGAAATCTAGGGAATCAGTATTTCTAAAATCCTGCACAGCCAAGGTATCAAGCCATTTTAATATTAAACCTACAAGGATGCATCTATATTACCTACATAAGCACACAAGTACATTAATAATTAGATATACAAGGCTATGTTCTATATAACATCTGTCTTAATGCATGCCATTCAGTGATTCCCTTTGAATCAATCAAAAAAAAACCCGTGACAATTTTTTGTCCACAGGGACCGCCAGATTCAACACAAAATTCACTTGTTGTTTCTTGTTGCTGCTTTTATCTGAATAAAATAATTTATTATTTACTGATTATTTTCACATGTCTGTGAAAAGAAACAGTTTCTATCAAATTTACGAAAAAGCATTGAGCATAGGCAAACAGTACATTAATTGCCATAAACCACTTTCTTTTTATATATCTTCAAATGTATTTAAATTTTAAAAAATATGTGTTACTGAGATGTGCAGTGTGGCTTTTCATAGCAGTTAAGATTTATCAACACAAGAGAGATAAACAGTCCTGTAACACTTTAAATTACACGTCATTAGATCATTATGTACCTTTCCACTATGAAAAGCAACTTCCTCCGCTACTCGTTTAATTTTTGTGCCTAACTAATCACATTCCCCACATCACTCTTCTCTCTCTTTCTGTCATTACCTCTTTTCTGGCGTGGTATCATTTTCTTTGCTTGCCGGTGCTTCCTGTAGATCGGGGAGGTTGGCAAAGTCATCCTGTTCGGCCAGCCCGATTGCTAGAGACAGAACAACCATCTTCCCCTCACTGGACACACAGACAAACAAGACAACACAAGTCCACACATGTAGACACAGACACACACACAGCAGTGACACAGCACACATTCATTTCATGCACGAGAGAGTGGGAGAGAGGTCGTTTCATTTTAACAAATGCTCAGTCAACACTTTAATATGCAGTGCATCTCAGTCAGATCTGTGTGCTCTGGAGTGAGCTAAGAATACAGTACAGATTTAATTGAACACTTTAGTAACACTTTGCTGCATGGATTTCTTGCCATTTTATATACCATGTACTTAACTTTTGTTTCTCATAACCGATTTAATGTTACTGTAAGAACATTGAACACTTTAAAAACATTTGATTTTGTTGGTTTACTGTATGTGCACAACAAACCATAACACATACAAACTATAACCTACAAAGGTTTGCTTTCTGCCCCCCTCAAAATGTTAAATGTACAACTGGATCCAACATAACCTCTGATGTGCAGATTTTGACACTAACATACATTGTGTGAAGATGTTAAAGGCTACAAGCAAGTATAAATAAACTTCCAAGTAATCCAATATTAGAATGGTTTCATTTTATGGCTGGTAGTTATATATTATGAGAAAACATAATCTGCCGTTGCCATCATCAGTGATATCCTTCTGGTTGATTTCTTGTATTAGCAAATTAGACTTCATTAGAGGCCAGAAAGAAAATAGATCTTTGTGCAATGAAAGATCTTAACACTATTTTTTTTCCCTTTACCATTCCTTTCATTGACTCTCTGAGGTTAAGAGTTTTCTCAACCTTGCTAAGACATCCAACCTTTGAATAAAGTCTTATTCTCACATTTTGGTTAATGCTTTGTGCCTATGATTACTTAACGTACTGTATGCTGTTAGCCTGAGCAGTTTCTGTAGAAACAGATGAATTTATTTCCCACATGCTGGGCTGACTCTTTCTTTAGTTGTTTAACACTGACATTATATATAATATAGCATAACATGTCAAATAATCCAAGTGATATTCATTATAAGCCCACTTTTTATATATAACCTGTTAGAAACATCCATCTGATTCATCATTACAATATATGAGGTTATATAATGCATCAGTGAACAATGTGTGTTATTACAAGCATGGACCCATTTAATTTCGTATGCATGAGTCAGAGCAATGCACTTTTAAATATGGTCATCACAGAAATATGTTGATGAAAATGAGCATCATTAGTAAAAAGGCTGAGAAACACTGATGCCTCTAAGGATATATCTTCTGTTATCAGTTTTCTAGAAAAAATAAAGGTATAAAAATAGAAAAGCAAAAACCTCTTTCAGAGACAAAAATAGAAGCAATTGAAATGGCATGCGGGGGAAAAAAAGAAAAGCAAAATAAATCCATGAAAATTGATGTGGCCTTAACAAAGACCTGCAACAAAGAAACATATCACGTTGATTTTCAGCTGTTATTCTCAGTCTAAACATGCCAAAAGTCATTTTAATTATGTCTTACTGAAATATGCTGCAAAGTGAATTCAAGAGACCTGTGACCTTAACAAATGAATATTTGCCTACAACTAACCTTGTAACTCACAGTGACAAAATAACAACCCACATGTAGGCAAATATTGTACTCTATTCTGGCTTCTCTTCTCCTACCATGCTCGTTTCCTCTTTATACAACCTTTAACACAGCATGCTCATCCAAGGACAAGCTTTGTCACCGTAAAGGACAATTCCAATATTTTGTGGATTAGTAGCTTTTTTGCCATGGTTTGACTCTTTACCTTGACCGTGTTATTAAATGTAATGTAAATAATTTAAATAATTACTTAAATGTTTATTTTAGGAAGAGTTCTTTGTGTTCCTAAAACAGTATGTTAATATGAAACACTGCTCAAACTTTTTTACAAAAGGTTTAAACCTTGCAATGTTGAGCCAGACACTATAGCTAATAAGTGTAGAATTGTGCACATCAAGTGTTAAATAAATATAAATAGAATCAAAAGATTAAAAACATGTGCATCCTATGTTATCCTTTTTTTATCAGTTTCATCAGTTTCTCCTCAGTTTTCCTCTGACTATCTTCCTCTCATCTCTCCATATCTCACACCTCTGATTTATTTTCCCAGCCTGCATCTGCTTTCTGTGGTGCATTCCCCCTTTAACAAGAGGCTGTTTGTTGAAGCAATATCGACAACAAGAGGGAACACATTAGCACTTAAGAGACAGCAGACCACTGGGGATGTGTAAACAGTATCAACATGACGCTCATCGATAAGATGAACGGATTTTATATGGATGACCAAAAAAGACACGCGCACTCCAACCGGAGGGCTCTGAAATCATTACCACCTACACCAGCTCTATTGATCTGAAATGTAAGCGGGGTGGCACTGTATGACAGGCATTGACACACGTGGAAAGTGAAACTGCTGTGTTTGGTTGTTCATACCCTACTGATCACAAATGCATGATATCCCCCCCCCCCAAGGGCCAACAACTGATGTGTTTGGTCCAGTGAGATTCATGGGGACAGAGACGATAGGCGATAACACCTCCCTATATGTGCCCAGCCTTATTTGAATGATGATTCACATAGGCAGGGAGGTCACTGGCCTGGAGACACTGTTAATGGGATGACACGCAAAAAGTACAGGAGTGTAGCAGAGCTGTGGATGTTTGTAAGTGTCTTTGTTCGTGGTCTGGAGGGGATGGAGGGTGGGGTTTACGTGAGGCCGCTTTGTGGAGCACATCATCTGTAATCTATTATTCAAGTCAAGCGAAGGAGGAGTGCTCTTCGTGCTCGGTATCTCAGACAATCAGTAGCTTTCACACACCAGCATTCGTTTTATTCAGTTGTGGATGAATCGAAAAAAATCATTGGCATAGTAAAAGCTTTAATGATCTTTGATAACTATCAAAGCATATTTCTCTTGAACCCTGGTTGGGTTAGGCTTAAGGTTATTTTATCATGTGCTTGTGTTACGTTTTTCTAATTCTCACCATCCTATGTTGGAAAAACTATTGTGAAGCGAGATTCATCAAGTCTATGTATACAGTGACAATACACTGAATAATGTTTATTCAACAAGCTGGAATCTATGTATGAATCTATGATATGTTGAGGAATTTTATAAGCAATTTTATACCTTTTCTTATGTAAGAAATACACATTGGATTGTGTTTGGTTTTCTTCCTGGTTGTGTGGAGTTAGGTATTCCCAAAATATACAAAACACAGAGCTGTTTCTAATGGTCTGTCCACCCTCACTGAAATAAAGGGGGTTGCATTAGAAACACTTCTCAGCAATGCAATTCAACAGCACCACGCACTAGTGATACAAAGTAACTAAGGACATTTACTCAAATGCTGTAATTAAGTACAATCTGGGGTAATTACATACTTGAGTATTTTCTACTCCATTACATTTCAGAGGAAAATGTTACACTTCTTTTACTCCACTACATTATTTTAACAGTTTTAGACATTAATTGCTTAAGGTTTTGCATACAATGATGACTATCAACTTGAGCATAAAATGGGGTGCGGTGTTATAGANNNAGTAAAGGATCTAAGTACTGCTTCCAACAGTGCCACAAACTACATTGCAGCCTCCAAAATGACAAATACAGAAACCAAAGGTGGGATTTATTGTGTTAGACTTCTACTACGACTATTAGGCATACCTAATAAATTGGCAAGTGAGTTAAGTCAAAAAAGCCTAAAAACCTAGAAACTAGGTCAGCAGTGTAGCACATATCACCAGTATGTGCTCACTGATAATAAGAGCAGCATTCAACAGATTCTGTCTCCTCTGTCAAGCTTTCCTGATGCAACATTTTACAGGTGAAAACTTCATGACACTTACAAAAACGACTTGACGTCCAGCCCTCTGTTGCGGATCTGCTCCACCATGTGATCCCAGCTGCCAGGGTTTGACCTCGATCGGCCTGCCCCTGCTCCTCTGTACCGGGAGGCTCCAGCCGGACTCCCCCGGACCCCGCGCGGGCCCCCACGGTGGCCCCCACCACCTGGACCTGTGTGCAGCTGGCCCAGGCTTTGTGAGGTGACTGGGGGGTCGTTTGGACCCGGAGGGGGCTGGTGAGTGAGGGGCTGTTGGAGACTCTGCTGCCGGACCAGGGGCCGAGGGCGTGCCACGGCTGAGGATGGGATGTGCTCCAGGGTGGAAGCAGACGAGAGGGAAGCATCCCCAAAACTGAGCAGACGCATGGGAGCGCCGAGAAAAGAGATGGATACAACAGGGAAGACATCGGAGTTAGAGATAACACGAGGGATACAGGACAGGGCAGGTCGTTTTGAAGGGATTTAGAAAAGATGAACGTATAAAAAAAAAAAATTGGCAACACATGATCATGTTGATATCAAAAAGAAGGTAAAGAGGATAAAAATGGCAAAAACATATATAGATACAGCAGAGATTGAGATGTGGGAACACTGTTTGCAGTGAATATCAAAGGGAGAGAGGATCAAGAAAGAGCAAACAACAATGATCAGTGAAAGAGGAGGTAGAGAAAGATTTAGCTTTAGATTACTATGAAACATCTGTATGAAAACAACTGTGCAGAATCTGGAGTTTACACTGTGTGACAGTGTATGCGTGTGTGGATGGACTGGCATGCAGCTTGTAAACATTCAATTATTCTTCTCCAGACTGGTGTCAAAACCTCTGCTTAAGTGGAATTAAATTCAAGCTGAAGTTAAAGTATCATTGTCACTTAACTTAGGTCTCTGCTCTCCATCTGCAGCGCTAAATTGTTTCTGTACGTTACCTTTCTCCCTAATTAGCCATGACCTACTTCTACCTTCTTGCCTTGCCGCCTTCAGCTTCCACCAGTCTTTCTCTAAGGTCCTGTCTGCTCCTGCTATATTTTCCCTTCCCACTCGTCCCTTTACCTTCGTGCCTTTGAGCTTAACTGCTCCCCATCTCCTCTGTCCATTCATCTTTTCTACAACCCCAGTCCCTCACATCAATCCAATCACTGTTCTTTAAGACTCTCTCTCTAATTACCGGTCTGCTACACTTACAATCATGTAATAGTGCTTCACCCCTTATCCTCCCTTCAATCACTGCCCTGCCTGATAACTGTAAGCTTGTGCTAAACAGTGCTGTCTGAAGATAATGCTGTGAGGGAGGATTTACTGCCTGGACTTGAGTTGTGTTAGTGGCGCTCCTCAGTATTAACTCGGCTCTAACTCTGCTGGAGAGCCAGGAGACAAGCCCCCCGAGGAGCAGAGCAATGCTGGATCAAGTAAATACAAGACAGAGCTCATATACATGCACTCCTGCATGCACTCACTTTCTCTCTCACACACTCACATATTGCACACTATTAGGTATTTCCCGAGGATAAGCTTTGAAGCGAATGTTTATTTACTTGTGCATTATATTTTAACTGAATAAATGTGAGTTAATGTTTAAAAGTCGTGGATTTCCGTTGAGCAGAAGCGTTATAGAGTTTTGAAGTGGGAAGAGGGCATTTTTGGTATTTAGGGTTCCGCAGGCATCAGTCTCATTTATTGTCTGCAAAGATAATGTTAGGCAACTGTTGGTTGGACAATTTCCAAGGATTGGATGAAACTCAGAAAAGAATTCAAAAAACATAAAAGAAGGAGGTATACGCCTGTCTACATAAAAGTAAAACTAGAGAAGTTAACTATGACTCCTAAGGGAATTTTGATCTGAAATATCCAGTCAAGCTTAAAACGTTTATGAGTGCTGCTAGTTCTTTAGTTTAAATCTGGGCAATTTTGGCACAGCGTTGTTATAGCAAAGTAACAACAATATGTATGTAAATGCATTCAGGCTTTTTCTCCATGAGGCTTATATGGCTTTTATGGCTTAGTATTAATAGCCATCCTCCGTAACAAAACTGATGGAAAATACAGGATTTCTCAGAAACATAGATGAAATAATTAATTTTGAGGGACATAACATGTGATTGTAAAAATTTTTTTCAGAAGCACTGAGCACATCAAAAACTGACAATATGAATTTCCTCTTTTAGTTAATCCAATCGGATTTAGCCTCAATCTCCTCCAGCCAATCATGTTGCTGCTGTCAAACTTTAAATCTGTCCTCCTCTCTGTCATTTCAGTGCAAAATTGTTTGACAACCCTCCTCCACCCCATTCACCTCCAGTTCATCACATCCAGTGCCCAGGTTGAGCTCATCAGAAGTCTACGCCTCATCAAAACCATATCTTCAGTATTCACTTCATTCCTTCATCACCACCACCACCATCAGTGTCTAGAGTCCATCAGGGGCTTCCTATACTAATCATGGCTTCACCAACCCCTTCAAATACGATGACGTCACAATGGGGTCTAATCGCCAAAGATTTTTCACATTTCTCATCTTCATTGGGCACATATCAATTAAAGTTTCTCCTAACTGAAATGAAATGTTAGAAAAGCAAAAGGAAATGCATGAAAGTGTAAGAACACAATATAAAAAAACTACTGTTATTTGTACCTCTGAGCATATAAAAGATATGGTACAGTTAAGCGAACAAAAAATAAAAAGGTCCTCTGACACACAGAAATCTCTATGTCGCACACAAATATGTCAACATAACTGACATCATCATAAATCGATACATCTGGCTGGATTTATGCTGGAATTAGGCCAGACATCTGGGAGCCAGTCCATGTGCTAATAAATTTTGCTAGTCTGTTCAGTGTCATAAATTTGGCAAATAATTTATTCATGAATGAATTTACTCAAAAATTCCAGGACTCTACAACGAACAGTCAGTTCCTCGATTGTTGTACCCACTTGTGCTTTCAGGTACTGTTCAACCTTATTGTATCTGTCTACAACAGGCGCAGTTATTCGTATGCCCTGAGCACAAGCCCCCTTTATCTGCTGTATCCTATTACTGACTTAGAGGGTTATTTTCACATTTCTTCTTGCTTGAAAGTCAATTAAGATGACTATAAACCTTGAATGATTTTGTAATTAGGGAAAATTGAGGAGGGTAAAAAAAACAAGGAGACAGAGTCAGAGAGAGAAAAATTACCAACAGTGAAGAGTGAAAGAGAGAGAGAGTGGAGGAGAGACAGAGAGGGGGAGAGGTTAATGTCCAAAAATAGAAACCAATTCCAGCGGAGAAATGGAAATACAGGTAGATCTGAAAGGAGGAGGAAAAAGGGAGCAAAATAGAAGAGTGACAGGACCGAAGAACTGTAATTCAAGTTCAAGTCCAAAAATTCTATTGCAAGTCTATTGTCTTGTAGTTAAAAAGCCACATACTGTATCATTAAAATATGTACTTAAACCGTTATGGAAATCAGTCAAAAATGCCCAATGATTCAGTCATTATGTGTGGAAACAATTTATAGTGTCTACAGTCCAACCAACAGGCCAATATCAGTTCTGAATAAAGAGTTTTGCTCTGTTGTTTCTAATCAATCTTCTGTGTCATAACAAGCACACACAGTATTATAAAGTTGGCTAACAATGAATGAATGAATGATGAATGAATAAATGGGCTGGTGATTTTAATTATTGTCCTGTACATCTACTTGCTATACTTGATTATTAATCTATTCTACTACAATTTGCTCTAGATTTACTGAATGAACTGTTGAGGCGAAACAGTACAAAAGACTGTTTGATTATCTAGGCTACGATTCACATACAGAGATCTTATATTCATTATTTATTAGCCTTTTCAATATGCTGCTGGTGTTTTGCAAAAACATGCAGCTTTCACCAACCAAGCAAAATTCACCATTCATTTTAACATTCCACATCTAACTCATATATATGGGACAGATTATTATTTGAATTCAGAGCATTGATACAGTACATTTATTTATTATTTGTTTTTATGATAACAGGACGGCTAAAACATATGGACTAGAGCAGTGGTTCCCAAGCTGGGGATCACAACCCCAAAGTGGATTATTTCTTCAACCTTGAGGTGGCGCAAAAAACATCTGGGTTGTCACAAAATGATTAGTTGGAAAGGATTGGATCCTTTAAAAAATGTATTCGGCTACACAAAACTTATTTTGTCATACTTTACTGTGATCATTGCTCTTAATTTATGAAATACTCAATATGGGTTATTGGCTTATTAGAAGCTTAAAAGTACCTGCAATATTGTAAAATGAATGGCTACCTATAAATCTTGATGCTACCTAATCTTGGTGATTAATTTTCATGCTGATCCAAGATATAGAAATGCTCCAGTTGTCAGTCACATTGTCTTTGGGAACCATTAATGGCACTTTTACTACAGGAACCAGGTGTGCCCAAAATAGCTCCTCCCACTTCATAACTCAATTATCAATTGTTTGTTGTTTACGCTATCGTCTAATTATGATAAATATCAAGCTGGTTCTAATAGTAACCAGTAAGTCCATGTGATTGCTACTTGGAAAAACAACGCACAGTCTGAGCTGTTTGCAGAGGCTGACACACAATGAACTTTGGTGAAAATTAAGCTGAATTGAACCATATTATATGAAAGAGTTTCATTTCTATCACTGGCCTAATTAAACTTTCCTGCTGTTTATGCAACAACCCACTCTGAATTCGAAAAGCTGTTACTTCATATGAACAAGCACGCCATTTTTAAAGATTTTCTGTGAGCATCTGTTTCGTTTGAAACTGTCACAGCCTTCAGCATATTGGAGCCTGCAGAGAACAGTATGACTGTGTGGATTCACTTGTTTGAGACTGTCCTGACATCAGCTGGTGAAAAGTTGGCAGTTGACATAGAAATGGTATTTGTTTATGAGTGACGAAGCTCTCTGTTGTCAAGAGACTTCAACCAACAGTTACTCATGCATCGCAGGTACGTCCTGCAAAGCAGCTGGCTTCTCTTCCAGGCCTGCCTTACATTATTTTCATCTGTATGGTGTCAAAAATAGCTTCTGTTGATGTCCATCTTTTAGTTTACATGCAACAATGCCACTCACAATGTTTTTTACATACTCATACTCTTCTTTGATATCCACACCATGCCATGTTGTTGTGCCCACTGTTGCCCCTCATGCGTGCCCTCTGTGACCATGCGCCACTCACTTGCCAAACCGCAGGCCTCCGGCATGCATGTGGCTCTGGACAGCCTGCCACCGTCCGGCCTTGCTGCCCCCCGTCACCATGCTCCGAACGCTGTCACTGCGACTGGGCCCTGCCCCAGTCCCAGAGCAAGCACCACCCCCGCTGTCACTGGCCCCCGGCGAGGGTCCAGCACCGCCCTGCCCACCCTTATCCACAGCCCCACTGGGAGGAACAGTGGGGTGGATCGGAGACAAAGAAACACGGAACAGAAAGGAACAGGAGAGGAGACAAAGAAGAGAGAGAGAGACGGACAGACGAAAGACAGACGCACAGACGTACAGAGCCGGAGAGCAAAAGAATCATAAGTTAAGTTAGTCAAACCGGTGAGTAAGACACTTTGTGAGCTCTCAAACCAGCCACAAGTGTCTAGTGTAAAACAAAAACCTGGAGCAGCCACTGCTGGTCAGCCAGAAAGTCAGTAAAAATGCAGTAAAGAGGTCTGGGCTGAGATTTACAGTGTAACTCTGACAGAAAATTGGGGGTCACAGTTGTGTACACTTGACTGAGACAAAAACATATTTTCCAAAGTACAAAACCTGCACAGAACTGAGGGCCAATGGAAAGTATTACTAACTGTATTATAATGCCCAATTCACTCATATACTGTGGAACACTAGCAAATTAAAACATTTGAATACATTTCCTATAAGGAATTTTTATTATTGCATCTACTTTAGTCCACTAAAACCAATTTTGGAAACATTTGAGGTGAGAAATAAGACACAGAATATTAGGAGTTTGGATATGCAGCAGGTCTGCCCAGACCTGGGACAGGGGACAGCAATGACCAATCTGTTGTCTCTGTGAATTGGGCATAATAGCTGAGTAATGATGCAGATGCATCATCTTTAGATTTCAAAACTGCATATGCAGGTGATGATAACAGAACGCTAATGTCTCTGTAATCTCACAGCAACTCACCTGCAGCTCATAATGAAAACAAAACTCTAATGAGTTTGTGTCATTCCACAGTAAATTCCCATAACTTATTTATAACCGTGCCTAACCCACCCCAGCTGACCTTGTCTCAAGACGTCACAGAGACGAGTACAAACAGAACGTCAACTTCAGTACAGGGGTCTTTCTACTGAGTGAAGACAAACACACAGCTGCACACCAGGACAATATCTTCAACAACATTTAGACATTAAGTGTAGACTGACGGTAAAATGAATGATTTCTCACTGAACAATTTCAGGCTACCTGGGCTACTGTTGTGATACAAATATTTTTGATGCATTTCTCCACCTTATGTAAAGCACTTTGAATTGCTGCTGAGTTTAAAAGGTGATAAACAAACAAACTTGCCTTTTACCAAATAAAAGCATCATTATTTTGATGGTAAGAAGTGAGAAATACTTGACTCACTGATCTGCTATCACATATGTATCTTTGAAATGCCCCCCCCAATCATCAGCCTATTGAATGCCACTCAAACCTAAATAATTATCTCAATAACATATCAATGAAATCACAACAATCACTACTGATTATACAATAGTTTCAACATTACTGCACAGATACGGAGTGATTGATAACCCTTGAAAGAGTCAAGTCAGTTTTAAATAGAGAGGGTAAGAATGAACAGGTTCACTTAATGTAATGCCTCAGTGACATGTGAGACGCATCTAAATGATGGAACAGAGGTTGATATGAAACAAACGTTTTACCATCCAAACACTTAATTGCTGTACTACACAAGACGGAGACATTGCCAATATTTTTGGAACAGGGCTCAGTAGACCAGACTCAGGAGGGCTATCAGACAACTGTAAAGCACTTACAGTACTATGAGTGATAGTGGGAGTAGTGACAACAAATGAGCAGGAAACACAGAGCGAGTGGAAGAAGAGGTGAGAGGAGTAAAAACACGTAACGGCTTCACACACACAAAAAAACAACAACACAACAGTGAAAAAAGTAGAACAGAAACCACCCTATTAAAGCAACAATTGATCCTTTTGGGAAATACCTTTGTAAGGGGAGTTAAATGAGAAGATCGATACCAATCTCATATCTGTCTATTAAATAGCTGTTTCCCTGTATCCAGTATTTATGCTAAGCTAACTAGCTGCTGGCTGTAGCCTTGTATTTAACAAAACAGAGTGAGAAACAGAAAATGGTGTTGATCTTCTGATCTACCTCTCTGCCAGAAAACAAACAAGCATACTTCCCAAAATGTCAAGCTATTCCTTTAAACTACCCCCTTCAAAGACAGAAAATAAATAAAACAGTCAGCCCTTTGTGTAAACCCTAATGGCTTAGGTAAGTGTACATTTAAGTCAGGTCTGCTACAGTATCCTGAGAAGCAAATTTGAATACATGGAGTTGAGAGGCTGGGTTGTATGAGAGGGGAAAAGGTTCAGGTGAAACAGTGAGATCTGCTCTCTGAGGGTTGTCCGTCTCCATGGTAACACTCCATGGGCTGCAGGTGAGAGGTAAAGAGGGTCTGATGAGGCTAGCAGGGCTGTAGGGAATGGGGCTATCAAACCTTTCAATTGTACACCCTGTACACCGTGCAAAAGCAAAATAAAATGTAATTTTCCCAGATTTGATGTTTTTGTGTTTGAGTTTTGGCAAAAAGAAGGGTCTCCAACATAAATTTTCCTCACTCTTTTTATGTTTTCAGATAGGATATATCTATTAATTACAGATGTTGTCACACAGAAACAACATCTTTCTATCTTTCTAGCATTTGAAAAATGGTTGTAATTAAAATTAAACTGTCAATGTTAGGGAAGTCCTAGGCATCATAGTAATATTGAGGGATGGTGCTGCACATCTCTATCAGGTGCTGCATGGCCAGCAGTGCATACTAAACACCAACTCACTGTGGACGTTCCTGACAGCAAAAACATGAGGATTACCAGGGATGAGAGGAGACTTCTGTTTAAAGATATGTGGCCAGACAGTGTTACAAAATGAGGCGTTCTGCCTCCCTTCAGGCTATTACTGTAAATGTGACCTTTTCACTGCTCAGAGTGATATATTGATCACAGTATTTGTTATACTTCATTTATACTTATGCACATAAATAGCCTAACAAGAGACTGTTAAAATTTAGTGTGCAAAACAAATCATTATGCCTAATAATGTCCTATATCTACTCATAGAGCTTTCTGGGAGTTTTTCCAAGGTGCACACAAGCCCCTGTTCATTACAGCCCTGCCCAGATAGTGGGGTCTCTTACCAGCCATGACTGAGACTCACTTGGGCGTGAGGCGAGGGTCTCCGTAGGGAGCATAGGGAGACATGTTTAAGAGGAACTCCTTGGGCGGGTAGGAGCTCCACCTCTGTTGCACGTTGCTGCTGTCATTGTTATTCCAAAAGTCTCTGTCTAGATCACTGTGGCCAGAGACAGAGAGAGAGAGAGGGGTAAGACAGGTAAGAGCAGTAAATGGTTATAAAGAAGAATAACATGACAGATGTGTTAAGAAACAGGATGGAAAGATCATAAAAAGAGCCAAGTTAGAATATTGTCTCATAAATCTAAAGGTCAGGGAAAGAATGCTTATAAATAGGGAATATGTGATACCGTCAATGCCTGAGTTATATTCTAAAACTGTGCACAGCACTTTAAACATAGATACTAAATACATTTGTTCATAACACATAGGTGGAGTGTAACATTACATTCATCACACACAGGATGAAAGAGAGGTTTAAGTCAAATCTGTTGTAATCTGCATGGAAACCTGATAGCATAACATTTTGGTGCATGATGAAACACCCAGAATGAGGTAAAAAGAAGTGACCTGCATGTTTTAAGGATGAGGAAACAAATAAAACAGAGGAAGTAGTCACTATAAAACAAAAAAAGCACTTTATTAACATACATACTGGATATGAACTGTGAGAATACAATTTGGGAAACAGGAATTTAATTGGAATAGTAACAAAGGAGTGATATAAATGACAAACCGTTAGCTGCCAACCCTTCAGCACCTCTAATCTTTAGTAAGGATAATAACTACATAAAATCAAGGTTACCCACAGAAATATTACAGTTCAAAATAATGAAACTACACAATGAAAGATTTCTTGAATGTATGTTTAAAGTTGTGGTAGTAGTAGTTCAGTAATAGTGTGCGACTACTGCATTTGAATTTTTTTTTACAGAGGATGTAGTTTTGAAGTAAAGCTTATTAATCTGTAAAACAAGCTTCCATTTATACAAACAGAATTTACAAGTAACTTCCCTACACTGTGTGAAAAATTCAGCCTCTCTGATGAATGAAAAATATACCCACATAACACTGTCTTGAGGGCATCATGTCAGGGTGGACATTTCAGACCATGTAGGGGGTGCTACGAGATTAGCTTTCCAATCAGAAACAGCTGTTAAAATGCGATACCATAACTACATCACAGATCATTTCCATATGCCTTCGTCTAAACCCTTCCTGACACTTACTTGATGGCTTTATTTTCCCCTCGACCTCTCACAGATTCTGGAGAGCTGGCAGCCTCCACCCCGGGCTTATTCCTCTTCCCCTGCAAAGAGACGAGAGACAGACAGAGACAGAGAGCAATCGGGGGAGACAGATTTTAGAGCCATGTCTTGATCATTGTTTACAAAGGCATTTTGCAAGTGAAGTGCTCATTATAGAAGCTTTAGAACAGCATCAGGTTCCAAACATGTTGTAAAATAAGATAAATGAGGGAAGAGCAACAATTGGTTTGATGCCAGGACTACAGCTTGCTTCTCAGGATCAAAATGTGACAAGGGACCACTTTACCACAATGAGATGCAAAAACACACTTGCATGCACAAACATGTCTTTACACACGAACAAAGGAAATGCACATGCATACTACACAAGGCAGAGAGTAAGCACAGAATGAAATCAGGCACATTAGGGTACTAGGATACATTTACACAGATAAAACTGGTAAACATAAAATGAAACTTTTATTAAAACACCTGTAAAGACTAAAGCTATATTTATAGTTGTATTGCAGCTTATGTGCTCATCAAAAATTACATAAGTAAAAGTACATATTGTGGCTACAGCAGCTACGATACTACATTATTAGGCTAAAAGAACAGTATTTGCTGAGCTTGTGCTGTTTTATGCT